GGGGGTGCTGCTCCCGCTGCTGCTGCCGCCGCCGCCGCCGGCGCTGCTCGCGCGGCTGTCGCCCGTGGCGTCGATGACGAGTGACACCGAGCGCGCCCCCGCCGGCCTCAGCTTCTGCAGCTGCGGCGCGGCCGCCGCGGCGCCGCCTGGAAGCGCAGCGGCGCGCATCCAGGCCGCGCGGCCCGGCGCCGCGGGGCCCCAGACGGGGCGGGGCGGGGCGGGGCCGCGCGCGGCGCGGTACGACTCGCCCTCGCGCCACATCAGCGGCTGGATTTGCTTGAGGTACGTCTGCTGGGGCCCGATGACGGAACCAGGGCGGCAGATCCTTATGTAACCGATCACCTCCTCAGCAGTGAAGCTGCGGTGGGTTGGAGGGATGTTCGAATTCAAATCAACTCGTGGTGGCGGGTCGGCGAAACACTCGGGCGTTGGCGCAAATGCTGCGCACAGGCCCAAGCACTGTGACCAGGGCAGTGATCCAGGGCGGAGAGGGAGTGCGCAAGCCGCGGCGCCGGGCACACATGCACAGTGGCGATGCCGGCGCCGCCACAACCGCTCCCCGTCCCTTGTGCACACAGCGCGCGGCGCCACCACCCGGAGCTGTGACCAGGGCAAAGCCGTCACCAGCGCACGTCACCCGCAGCCTCACCCATAGTGCTTCATTATGTAGCTGCAAATCAGCACCCCGGTCCGGCCCAGGCCCGCCTTGCAGTGGATGGCCAGGGCGCCTGGCTCCTGCGGGGGGGGGGCATTCGATGCGCGGGCGGCCCGGGCTCAAGGGCGCGGGGTCGGCAGGCGGCGGCGCGAGCGGGGCACCCAGGGGCCCTCCATCACATCACCTAGAGACCGCCGGCCGATTCAAAGCAACCTCTGGCGCGCGGCTTCGGTTGCGCCAGCCGCGACGCAACGGGGCGGAGGTTCTCTCCGCCCCGTTCCCCCACGCCCCCCGTGCACAATGACAGAAGAGCGCATGGCGCGGCGCGGGCGCGGCGGAGAGCCTCGCAACGGCCCCGTCTCTTTGGTCATGGGACATTCAAGTCGGCGCGGCTTTACATCATCCCCTGGCGGCTCGCCTGCTCTGCGACCCGCAGGAACTGCAGCAGCAGCTCTGTGCTGGGGCAGGAGCCATCAGGGAAGTACATCTCGTGGTGCCGCAGCCCGCCGTCGGTGAAGCGGCAGCGGTCGTACACCTGACGGCGCGTGTGCCGTGAGGGGGGCGAACGAGAGCGCGTTGGGCGCGTGGGGGGCAGCCGGCGGGCCACGATGCGTGTGTGTGTGTGTGTGTGTGTGTGTGTGTGTGTGTGTGTGTGTGTGTGTGTGTGTGCGCTCGCCGGCGCTTGCCGGGCCCCTCCCCTCCTTGTTTTGCTGTTTGGCAGCAGCACTTTGCAAGGGCCCACGCTGCCTGGCATGACGCGCACGCATCGGCGGCGCCGCTTTGTCACAGCTAGGAAGCCACTCACTCTGCTCTCCCCGCTCCTAAGTTGCCTGCTATCCACTCTACCCCAAAACACACGCACGCGCGCACACACACACACACACACACACACACACACACACACACACACACACACACACACACACCTTCTTGTTCAGCCGCACCACCGCCGTCACCCCGCGGCCGTGGTAATAATCCACGTAATCCTCGGGCACCATCGCCCTGAAACCGACGTACGCGTTGGGGGACGCGGCGGGGCCGCTGAAGGCGGCCAGCTTGCCAGGGACGATCCAGGTAAGGTCACCATTCTCAACCTGGGGCCAAACATGATGTTTTGGGTGCAAGGGGGAGGGGTTCCAGGGCCTGGTTGGTTGGGTGGTTTGGTGCGCGAGTGGTTTGGGGCCAGGTGATTTGTGGGGGGGTGATTAAGGCGGTTGGCTTGGGGTCGGGTGGGTGGAACCAGGCGGATTTCCGGGAATGACTGCGCTGTTGCAGGATGCTTGAGGGATTCCAGTCATAACAGGCGCGAGATCACAAGAGAGCAGGACTGGCAGTGGACGGCGTTCTTGGATGGTTCAAATAATACTGCGCGTGTGACGTAGCCCCGCAGGGCTTGCATGCACAAATACTGCCTGGGCTGCATCAGAGGCATGATCCCGATTGCGCTCAGCGTCAACACACACACACAACAGCACACATGTGCGTGCGCGCGCGCGCACACACACACACACACACACACACACACTCACGCACGCACGCACGCACGTGTGCGCACGAACGCACATGCCGCGTATGCTCACGAGGGCGTGCGTGCATCGACAGTTCACAAGAGAGCCCACCAGCTCATAATGCTCGTACTCTTCAGCGTCGAAACGCCACGCCCCGCCGGTCGCGTCCAGGAAGCCCGCCGCCACCGCCCTCTCCAGGCCGCGGAGGCAGTGCTGCTCGGCATCAGGGGTGCGGCGGCGCGGCTTCAGATCAGACGAGATGAGGTCAGGTCAGATCAGGCCAACAACCCAATGCGGGAGCGGGGGAGTGGACGTGGTGGGGCACAGAGGGCCGGCGTGCCCCTGGTCACTGTGAGCCTTTTGCTGCGGCATCAAGGCAGCGTCCAGCCTCCAGCCTTCATTGTTTGACCTCAAAGGGCGCTCCACCACCCGGCCCTCCCATCTAGCCCACAACAGGCAGCCGGGGCCCGTGCCGCCGCCGTGTCCGCTTGATTGCATTGGACGCGCACTCAAGGCGTTGGGCCGGGATCTCTGTACAGAGACATTGTTTTTAAGGCTATGCATCGGAGGCTTCGTGTACATGGCAGCTGCTCGGAAGCTGCTCGGGGCACACACGCACCTGGACTTGCAGGTTGAAGCAGGGCACGCCGCACGACGCGTCCCTGAATGGCATGAAGGGCTCCAGCGCCGCCAAGGGCGCGTAGGCAGCATCCGCGGCGCGGCCCATCAGCAGCACCTGGAACGCCCCCACCTGCGAGCGCGCGTGCGTGTGTGCGTGTGTTCACGGGGCGCCGCGCGCACGTGTGCACGCGTTGTCAGCAGCGCGCGTGCGGGCTCCGCGCGCCCGTCCGCGGTCGGCGGGCGGACAGGGCGACAGCCGGCGCGCGGCTGGCAGCAAGCGGACGGCGGCGGGTTATGAATTCCCTACTGGCTCCTTACCAGGACGGCTGCATTCGCCTTTTGCTGGCCTTGGGGGCCGCAGCAGAGGTACAGGCGCTTGGACCCCTTGTCAGCCTCCTGAGGGGGTGCCGCGGAACCAGGTGCGGAGAGAGGGGGTCAAATGGGAAGGTGCTCTGAGAGCACGGCTGCAGAGAGCCTCAAGGCCGGCAGGGCGCCGCGCCGCATGCGTTGGGGGCCGGAGCAGCGCGCGACTGGGAGGGGCGACCGCCTTGGGGGCGTGCGACGGGCCGCTGGGCGTCGCCGGCCGCGCGGGGGGTCGCGCGCCTGCAGCAGCCGCGCCGTCTTCTCGCAGAAGCGGTAGGTGCGGCCCAGGTTGAGGGGGCCGAAGTCGGCGTAAAAGGGCTCGTAGAGCTGAAGGCCCGGCAGCAATGAGGGGGGGGAGGACGGGGGAGGACGTCGTGAGGTGCGCATGGGTAAGGGCGCGCCAGGGGCGATCCGTGCAGCATTCATTTTGCTGCAGAAATGTCATCAGCAATGTGATTGTGGAGCTCTGCAGCGAGAGCGGGGAAGGAGCGGCGGCACATGCGGGCCGCACCAGCTCATGGTCGATGCAGTAAGTGAGGCAGTCGTCCCCGCCGGCCGATCTGGCGAAACTGCTGGTCGCTGGGTTGATGACGGCGAGATAATAGCGCCCTGGTATGATCTCTACGGCCTGCAAGGGGCGAGGGCAGCTTGCCACCTGCTCGTGACAGTGGGCCCTTGCCAGACAGCACGTCACATAGCTCCACGGCAAAATTACCTGCTCAAATCCGTCCATTTGTCTACTAATATGCTGCCTTTGACGCGAGTTGATGCCGGTAGGAGCAAACCGCACTCTTCGCAGAATCTGCGTAGGAACAGCTCAAATTCTTGCGACACAGGTCGCGTTCTATGGGAATTAGTGGCCTAAATCTAATGGTAGAGGCGCATGGTCGTCGGGCACTGCGCAGATAGCCTTGCGGCTGCCACCCGCTTGGCTGCTGGCGAGCGTAAGTACAGGCGGGATCCCGCAATGCGCTGATGGTAGGTTGCAGCTAGCAGAGATGAGACCATAAGCATGGCAGGTGGATCTGGAGGTTACATGCGTGTTCAATCGACTGGGGCGCCAAACGTGCCTGGGTGGCGGCCGCCCAGGCGACACAACAGAATGCACATTTCACGCTCCAACAAAGGCAAGTTGTCATTGCTGCACTCGATGAAGCAACAGTTGTCATAAGCAATGCGCAAGCCGGCGCCGGAAAAAGCGTGCATAGAAAAGAGTCAATAGGCACAGCCAGGTGCGCCAGCGCCGTTGCCGTGGTTGCCAGCAACCATCATGGGACTGCTGCTGCCGCCGGGTCCACTGCCCCCACTGCTGCCGCCATCGCTGCCGCCACCGTCGCTGAGTATGACGGCGTCGAGGCCGCTTGCAGACTAGCCCTTCTTCTTGTGCTGCGGCTGCACGCGCGTCGCCGCAAACTCCCCCAACTTGTGGCCCACCATGCTCTCCGTCACCTCGATGCGCCGCAGCCGCTTGTTGCCCGCGTGCACAAAGAACACGCAGCGCAGGAAGTCGGGGAGGATGACCGACGCGCGGCTCTGGGTGCGGATGATGGCTGGCGCGGGGGCTCCCAGAAAGCGCGTGCGGTTCCACCACTCTGGGTTCTGCCGCGCGAGCGCCACGACGTCCTTTAGAAGAGAGATTGCAACGAAGGGGCCTTTCCACGCCGGGCGGCTGCCACCCATGGCGCGGGGCGCGGCAGGTGGGGAAGCGGCGCGTGCTCAGGCAGCAGCGCGCGACGGGCGCGGCGCTTAGTGCTGCTGTGTGCTGGGCGCGTGCGCCACCACAGGCACGCACGGATGATGCGAAGCTTGTACACTATTCACCCCGACATGGAGACGAGGGCCTGTCACTTTCAGCGAAGCCTGCGAGGTGCAGATCTTGCAAAAAAGGAGCGTGCGTTCCAATTGAGTCACGTCGTGGTTGCAATAACAAGTAGTTAGGCGTTTTCCCTACAACGTGCTACTTATCAGAGTCTTGTCTGAGTGTTGGCTTTGCCCGCCTCTGTCCGGCGTGCGTCCACCTGTTGCACGAGCTGCAGCGGCTAAACAGAAGCAGTAGCCTTCAGGGGAATCGGTACTATGGACAATCAAAAGGAGTCCTACAAGCGGTACCTGGAAAGCGCCGGGGTCGTCGACGCATTGACGAAGGGTGCGCAGCGTTTGACCTGCACCGACCCAAGCGCGCACATCCGTGGACGGTCTGGATCCGCATGGGGCAAGAGGCTGGTTGATGTAGCATGCTGGTCATCGCATTGCTGCACAAGCATGCCTCGCTCCTCGCAGCAGCGTCCTGTGACCAGGTGGCCTGCCCATGCGTGGCCCTTGCAGTGCTGGTGGCGCTGTATGAGGAGCCAGACAAACCCAAGCAAGCCGTGGAGTGAGCGCCGTGTGCATCGGCCGGGGCAACACTGCGCGCCTTGAGGCTTGAACGCAAGCAGCAGGCCGCACCCCCGTCTCCTTCCCAATACAATCGAACGCCCCACACATCCTGTTCGCAGCCCTCGCCGCCCCCACGCACCCCGCCGGCGGCGCTCACTCTCGGCCCCTCCTCCCTCGCTGCTTGAAAAGTCGTTGCACAATGAATTTCACTGCCACCATCGCTGTCGTGCACCGCAGTTACATCAAAACCTGCCTGGGCGGCCCAACGCCCGCTGAATATGAGGCTGTGCTGGCCGAGAAGGAGTCGCTCAAGGCTGAGCTTGAAGAAGCGAGGCGTTTGATCTTGGATCTCCAGGGGAAGGTGTGCACGTTACGGCGTGGGGATGCAGACCTGATTTGTGTGTGTGTGTGTGTGTGTGTGTGTGTGTGTGTGTGTGTGTGTGTGTGTGTGTGTG